TGGCAGCTCAAATATGAGTCCTGGCTATGGGTGTCTGTCAGTCTTGAAAGTCCTAGAGCTCTCCCCTTCTGAGCAGTGTGTTCCTGTCCTGCCCAAGTATGGAACAGGCCCTAAGGGAGACAGAGTTGCATCCTGCAGAGTGCAGCAGAGCGCTCAGTTCCCCACGGGAGTCAGCTGGACTATTCCCAACATGGTAGTGGAGCAGGGGCTGCGGGATGGAATTAGTGTGTTCTGGAATCTTGTACCAGCAAGAGACCAGTCTCTGAAAGGTGGGGAAGAAGCCTGTCTGGGTAGGAGACTCAGATCCTGGCTTTGGAAGCAGGAATTCCCAACATGGTAGTGGAGCAGGGGCTGCGGGATGGAATTAGTGTGTTCTGGAATCTTGTACCAGCAAGAGACCAGTCTCTGAAAGGTGGGGAAGAAGCCTGTCTGGGTAGGAGACTCAGATCCTGGCTTTGGAAGCAGGAATGGCACAGACCTTAATGAACAAGATCAGCACTTGGTTAATTGCTCCCCGAATAGGATTTCCAGTCTCCAAAGCTCATGTGCTCTCCTGGGTGGAGCGAAGGGAATACCAGCAGATCCCGGATCTCCAGGGCTGTGAGGAAGGGGAGATCATCAGTGACGCCCACACAGGTGAGAAATCAGCTAAACTGACAAACCAATTTCTGTGTTCTCATAGCAGATGTTGGTTATGTGTTTTCATCAAGTCTGACTGGCCCTTCAGCCTGTCTCAACTCCAGGCTGAGAGTGCTGGGTGGGGAAAGAGTTATGGGGGAGCAGGGTGAACTCAGATCATGATTATTGAATCTTTCCAGCCATTCTTTGGGTGTTTCCCCCATTTTCTGTTCACCATTGAGAATTTTTCTTTCAGCTCAGCACAGGGAATGACTCCTGTGTGGTTTCTCTCTTTATACCAGCAGGTGATGGGATGCTGAATGAGAACAGTGAGAGGAGTCTTCAGGAGGAAGGACCTGAGCAAATGGCTCCATGTGGGGTGTTAACGGGAAGATGTGAAGGGCATGTTTCTCAGAGTCATGAGCAAGTAGAGACTTGTGAGAGTCAGCATAAAATACAAAGGCAGCAAGAAAACCATCCAGGAGCAGGACAGGATAAATCCAGTCACGGGAGGAGAAGGGTGAAAACAAACACAGAAACTGTTCAAAAGAAAATCCCCCATCAACATTCACCTTGTGCTTGCAGTGACTGTGCAACTCTTATTAAACATGAAAGAGTCCAAACAGGAGAGAAACCCTTCAGCTGCTCTGACTGTGGGAAAAACTTCAGTCAGAGCTCAAAGCTTCTTAGACATAGGAAAACCCACATGTGAGAAACCATTCAGCTGTTCTGACTGTAGGAAATGCTGCACTCAGAGGTCACACCTTGTTATCTATGGGAACTCTCACAGGAGATTAATCCTTCAACTGCTCTAACTTTGGGAAATGCTATAGCGAGAGTTCAAGCCTTGTTGCACATAGTTGAACCCACACAGGTGAGAAACCCTATAGTGGTGGTGAGCAAAATTTTCTCTCTTGGCACAGTCCAGCCTGCCTAAGGCTTTGATCCTGTCCACAAGGCGCACATAGTTGAACCCACACAGGTGAGAAACCCTATAGTGGTGGTGAGCAAAATTTTCTCTCTTGGCACAGTCCAGCCTGCCTAAGGCTTTGATCCTGTCCACAAGGCAGTGCCTGGCCCCCCCTCCGAATGAACATGTGCTAAACGAGAAGGAGCTTAGCCCCACCCCCTCTTCATGCTGTGTAGCCACTAGAGAGGAGGTAGAGCTAGGCTGAGTCTTTGCCACACAACCTGAGGCTGGCACTAGAGGCACTGCTGCCACTGCACTGCTGGCCTCCAGCGTCACATGGCCATGTCAGGGATGCCTCTGGGGCTTGTCCTGGGCTGCATGGCTGGAGCAGCAGTACCTCCAGCCCTTGACTGAATGGGTGCAGCAGTGGTGC